ATCACATACCTTTAACATATAGGATAAGCTATAGAGCCCGTGCATACTTAGGTAATACATGCAGTTAATACTCCCTTTTCTCTGTCCAGCTTGTGGACATATCACTTTTTCCTTTTCCATATTCAACTTACATATATTTAGATTTTATTTCCCTCATGAGGGGGTAGAGAGGGGTGGAGCAGCTACCTGCAGTGATGTGCCAGTCACACAAAGCTCTGCAGTGCTGAGGCCTCATGGGAAGGCCCTGAGGTCGTGTCGGGTGTTTTTTCCTGTGAGCGCCAACACACGTGCCTGTGTGCCTGTGATCCTGGCTGCCTGAGGCTAGGGTGGATCATGGCAAGAGGATCCCAGTGGGGACGATGGTCTCTTTATCCCCTTTCTCTCTATCATGGAAGAAATAAAGTCAAAAGGAAAAAAGAGAGAAAGAAATATAGCACCCCCAGCAAGTCTCACACCGTGATCACCCCCAGCCATTGATAGCGGGGATCAAGGCCATGTGTGTGTCCCCGGCATGCATAGGTGGACCTGGGAACTGAACCTTGGCTTTCCATATGGCTTTCAGCATCACAGAGCTTTACACTACTGCTGTACCACCATGGCTAGGCCTCCATCTTTAGCTTATTTTTAAAGTTATATGTTTTTGGCAATTTCATTTTTACTTGCTAGGAAAACATTAAAAGTTGAGACAATTTCATGTTCCTAATATTATTCTATTAGGGTGACTCAATGGCAGTCTGTGAAAGAATGATGCAGAAAATAGGCAGTGCTGGCACGACTAACCTTTTACAAAGTGGGAGTGTAGCTGCTCAGTACCTGCAGGGGCTAATTGTAATACATGCAGCTAAGCTGGCAGCTTTGTTAGTCCATGCTTTAAACGTGATGATGTAGTTTAGTTTAATGCATACTTAAGTTACAAGATGGAACATTTTCACCTGGACAGATTATCTTGTTAGAAATGTAAACTAGTGAATATAAGTCATATAAATCAATTTTTTTAAGGATTTCCTCCTTTTTTTTTTTTTTTTTTAAATTTTCCCATTGTGCACATGTACTCACCAGAGACTGACACTAAAAGGGAAAGTGAGAAATCGCCTTCCTGGGGAAATGGCCATACCACAGTCCTTTCTCCTCCATTCTCCTCCTGGGATTTGGGACATACATGCACACTTGCCTGTGGAATTTCCAAGCTGCCACATCTGGGACTGTGGTTGGCCATGTGGGAGTGTCATAACCAGTATGTCACCTGCTGGCCTCACATAAACATTAATTTAATCATTTCGCAGAAAGTACTCAGAATGCCCTAAAACCTGTAAAACACAGATTTCGCTTTCTCTTCTCAAAGAACTTCAAGAGATTTTATCATAATGAGTTGATATTTTTGTGAACTGTTTTCTGTGGTTTATATTATTAGAGTTCTTTTAGATCAAAAGTTGCATTGAGGCAGGATAAAATTCTTTAAGGTCTGATTAGGAGAGTTGGTAGTGAGTAGTAAGATGACTTAAATTTGCTATACTTGGGACCAGCAGTTAGCATAATGGCTATGTTGCTGGACCCCCACGTAGTCGACCGTGGTTTGAGTCCCGATCCGGCAGCTTAAACTCAATGCCGGGCGCATGTGCGTGCGTGCCTAAGATCCTGAGAGGAGAATGGAGGGGAAGGGATTGCAGTGTGGCCATCCCCCCCTGGGGGGTGATTTCTTGCTTTCTGTCTCTCTGTCTCTCTCTGTCTTTCTGGTGAACGCACACGCCCTATAGCAAAAACCTCTCCAAAGAAAAAGTGCTATACTTAAGACCAAAGGAGAGACCAGCAGTTGGCATAATGGCTATGTCGCTGGACTCCCATGTAGTCGACCGTGGTTCAAGTCCTGGACCCGGTGGCTTAAACTCACGCAGGGTGCATGTGCATGCATGCCCAAGATCCTGAGAGGAGAATGGAGGGGAAGGGATTGCAGTGTGGCCATCTTCCCTGGGAGTGGGGGGGTGATTTCTCACACACGGGCCCTGTAGCAAAAAAAAAAAAAAAACTCTAAAAAAAAAAAAAAGACCAAAAGAAACCGGGCACTTTTTCAGACTAGTGCACATGTTATTTTAAAAGATTCTTGCATTTTCCTCAACATGAATTTACCTCTGTGTATTTTTCTCTTATTGCTTATTTTCAAAGACAGGTTGTCTTCTGCAGCTTTTACTTTGTTTCATAACAATCTTTGATCTAGCCTGAAACTCATATAGCAACTGAAACTGCTTTTGCAAGGCAAAGCTTTCCTCTACACATCTTTGTAATAGACAGTGAAAAAAAATTAATATAACACAATCTTTTTTTTTTTTAACCACAGTGATGTGTTAGGTTTTTAGTGGATAGCAGTTATGAAGGCCTAAGTGAACTATTTCAGTTATTGAAGAAGTATGAAAGAAACACAGCTGATGAAGTTTCTACATATCAAAGGAGATTTACCTTCTGCTTGATTATTTAGACAAATCTCACATTCTTAATGTTATTGTTTTAAAGCTGGGGACACTATTTTTTTAGGTATTGGAATATTGATAACTGGACATGTTCATTATTTGTATTCTAGAATCATATTTTAATGATATGTTTAATCTGAAAAAATGAAGTAGAGCACATGTCAGATTTCCCTACCATTCATTTTTATAGTCAGGACACTAAAATGTAATAAAGAATTTAACTCATGAGAATTAAGATGTTAGTCTGAAATAGATTACTTTAGCATTTATTAGGTTGTCAGAAAAGTCATGACGTATTTTTTCCTGTGTTTTTCTATGCAAAAATGCTTTTCTGACAACCCAATAGCATTATTGTTTCACTTAGTCATTCATAAATTTACAGAAAAGATATTAAACATGTACCATTTGTCAAATCTTGTATGAGGACTTAAATGTATTAACATGATTAAGATACAGTGCCTTTGCTCAAATAGCCACCAGGGTTGTGGAGAAAATAAGTGCATAAGTCTTCTAAATTTAATATGGCACATGTTGGGTTCTGGGCACCCACCGATCAGACGCTAACTGTCCATTTCAGCAGTGAAGAGATATGGAGATAATTTGTGAGCTGAGACTTAGGGAACAGAGTTTTTCTTTGATGTTGGAACCAAAGGACAGAGAATGGTGTGTGTAAAGGACTACTGTGTAGCACGGCATGGGGCATGGTGTGAGAACTCCCAGAGTTGGATTCTTCAAAGGAAGTTGGATGCTGAGAACATCAGAATCTTTATGCTGGGGTTGGTTTCTACACTTTTTTCTAGAATTCTTTTTGATTCTTGCATTTACTCAAGCAATTTAATACTACACTAACCGAATATTTTAAGGACTTAATATGAGAGGATTTGAAGGGCAATTCTGTTAGTTATTGAGCTAAAAAATGTGGGGACCAGCAGTTAGCATAATGTCGCTGGACTCCCATGTAGTCGACTGCGGTTCAAGTCCCGGACCCGGTGGTTTAAACTCATGCAGGGCATGTGTGCATGTGTGCCCAAGATCCTGAGAGGAGAATGGAGGAGAAGGGATTGTGGCGTGGCCATCCCCCCTGGGAGGTGATTTCTCGCTCTGCCTTTCTGCCTCTCTCTGTCTTCTGGCAAGTGCACGTGCCCTATAGCAAAAATCTCTCAAAAAAAAAAATGTACTAAGTGCTTACTGTGAGCTAGACATCTTGCCAGGTGTTTTCCTTTATGCATACACATGTGCTGGGCGTGATTGAAGCCATCAGGTCTCGGACTTGGCCATGTCCATCACCTTAACCACCATGCCACCTGCTGGCCCCAGTGTTTCCTTTAAATATGCTAAAAGTTACTGTTTAGATTTACATGTAAGAGAAAGGAATAGAAGCTTGCTGTGATACTGTGATGTAGTGGATAAATCACAGTGATGTATCTCACTACCAATATGAGGTACCAAATCAGTATGGTCCCTTGTGAGTCCTTCATCTGTGATTAGAACTAGAACCTGAGCCTTGGACTTAGCCCACATTCTCTCCACTAATCACAGTCAGATGTACGTAAACAGGCAAAAAGGAACATTTCTAAGCAGCTCAAATGTTTGTCATGCTGCCTTTACATTCACCTGCTGCTTGGTGAATTATTATTATTATTATTATTATTATTTAAAAGAAGTTTTTACCTTAGGGCACATGTACTCGCTGGAGAGAGAAACACAAAGACAGTGAGAGCAAAAGTGAGAAATCACCTCTCGAGAGATGGCCATGCTGCAATTTCTTCTTCTCTATCTCCTGAGATGTTGGGCACATGTATGCACCTAGTGTGATTTTCAAGACAGTGGATCTGGTACTCAAACCGTGGTTGGCCATATGGGAATCTAGAGATGTAGCTATACCATCTGCTGGGCCCAATCTTTATTATTTTTAATAAATAAATTTCACTCAACCAGCAGGTGGTGTGGTGGTTAAGGCACTGAGTTTCCACATGGCTGATCATGGTTCAAGCACCAGACCTGATGGCTTGCTTTCTCTTTCTTTCTCTCCCTCTCTGTGTGTATCTCTCTAGTCAAATTAAAAATAATAGTAATAATAACAATAAAATTCAATAAAATAATTCTTTAAAAAAATAAATAAGTTTAACTAAAGCATTCTAGAAATTCCTCCCCAAATTCATATACATTAAAAGAAGTGCCTGGGACTAGCAGAGGGTATAATGGTTGTATCACTGGACTTCCACATAGTCAATCATGGTTTGAGTCTCTGACCTAGCAGCTTAAAACTCACACTGGGCACATGAGCATGTGTGCCCAAAATTCCAAGAGGAGAATGGAGAAGGTATTGCAATGTGGCCATTCCCTTGGGACAGGGGAGGGGGTGATTTCTTGCTTTCTGCCTCTTTGTCTCACCAGTGAGCACACATGCCCTATAGCAAAAATTTCTCTCTCAAAAAAAAGTGCCATTTGAGAGACATACATCACCATGATTATTGGATTACCATTAAATGTTACTTATTATATTTCCTAATACTCTCATGATGCTGCTTCTTACAGAGAAACTGATGGTCAACCAGAGAAGCCTTCAGTAACATATGCAACATATCGTGGCGCTAGACAAATTAGGAAATATTTACAGCAGCAGACCATGTTGGAAACTGTGCATCCCTTGGATGAAGAAAATGAAAGTTCTGACTCTAGTTCACACACACACAGTGGCCCTGGAAGTGAGATTGAAGCTGGGATAGTGCCACTGTCACCATCAGCTAGCACAGAGACATCAAGGAGAATATATTTGCTTGGAGGCCCTTTAGAAGACTCTGATTATAACAAAACAAATCTGAACACAGAAAGCCATCTGATAAACAACCCAGAACTGCGGGATAGTGTTACTTCTAAGGATGTTTTAAATCAAAATGGTCTTGGGGGACCTGAGAGATGCAGGTCATCTCCTTCTGCTGTGACTAACTCCAGCTACACTGTTGGAGAATCTGACTCACAGCACCACTTCCACTGTGTACCAGTTCCTCAGATTGACACACATTTGGTATGTTCAGCATTGCTTACAAAAAATAATGGCAACGCCCCTAGCAGTCCAGATTTCCAGGGGATAACTCCAGCAGAAGATACAGTAAAGGAAAAGAGCTCTGTGATGTGTGATGGGATATTGGTTCAAAGAGAAGAGGATCCTGAACCTCAGTGCTCTGCTGTTTCTGAATTCTATTGTTGTAAACCTGTTGGGAGTGACACTACTGAACAGGAAGGTACAAATGGTCCAAGTCCAAACAAATCCATTAGACATGAAGATCTGCAGTTGCCAGAGAGTAAGTGTTTTGACAGGCAAAAGTATGATGATAACTCATCCGAGGCTGCCAATCACACCAGCACCATTGCTCCTCAGAGACATGCTATGACAGACACTGAACTTGTAAGTGAAGAAACGAGGTTGTCTGCCCAAGACTTGCCAAGACATTTAGCTGTTACGGAAATCAGGCAAGAAACAGAAATTGTCTCACCTGGTGAACCCACAACGTCAAGTTACATAAAAAATTCAGTAGATAGGATTGAATTATTACCCAAAGATACTGACCAGTTGTTTGAAACAGAAGTCAGAAAGCTTGATTTGAAGCCATATGACAAAACGCACACCATTAGAGTAAATCAAAAGGACTCTGACTCTGAACAACATGTCAGTGAACTGGCAGTTACAGCATGTTCGGGAACTAAAATAGCACCTGAATTGAATTTTGAACTTAGCAGAAACCACATTCCAGAATGTCCCCTTCAATCTGAGAGTCTTCAACAAGCCAAAGGATCACATGATGATGCTAAAACACCTTTTAACCTTGAGTGTGAGAAAGCAGATTTAAATACTTTACCTCCTACCTTTGTTTCTGGAGTCGGAATGCCAAGGAAGTTGGATAATCCTGTATTAAATAAGGAGGGTTCTTCTGTGCTCATTAAAACTGAGGATGTCAATACCGTTGATATTTCTTTTCAAACCATTAAGTGTCATGAAGAAAATGGAACAAATCATGCTGAGGCTGCGGACACGAAGAGCTCTCCTTCCTGTCACCTTGAGCATGCATCTGCAGTTTTTGAATCCAAGGAAGTTCTAGCTGAGAGTGGAAACTGCCAAGTTCCTCTAGGTCCTGAAGCTAGTGACACTTTAACTGGAATGGACCCGCTGAGCTTTGAGTCTGAAAGGCTCTCTCAGGACCCCAGTGAAGCACAGATACTGCCTTCAAACACTGAAGCAAATAAGAGCCCAATAGAGATGAGGAATGATTCTCTTGCCTTGGAAACTCAGACTGATTGTATTGGTGAAACTTTATCAAAAGCCAAAGCTGATGGTCGGAACAATGTTCCTGTTAAGTCACATTTGGGAAGAGGAAAAACTGTAGCTTCATCCAAGATTTGTTCTGTTTCCCAAACAGAGCCTAGTGACATTTCTCAGGATAAAATTTCTTCTTCTGAATTAGTAATTACAGATATTCCAGCAAAGTCTCTTTTGTCAGAATTAACTTCTCCAGAGGTTGAACAAGACAAGAGTTTTCAATTAAGGGGTCATAAAGAGATTAAAGAGAAATGTTCAGCTGCTTGGCTGAAAAAGAAGGGCCAAGCTGAAGTTTCTCTTCCTGCCTCCAAACATCAAGATTTACAAGAAACAGAGGGAAATGCCTTAGGTTATCCTCTTGTTCTTCTTAAAAGTAACATCTCTGAGATTTTGCCTTCTGCTCACGAGAAAGTCACTAGGCAAATGGCACAGAGTTGTGAAGCCAATGCTTGTAAGATTCATCAATCTTTGGATATTTGTGGCACTAAAAAACCTGCTGGTCCCTCAGAAGGGGTAGAATTCAGCCTAACTAAGATTTCTCCAAAATTCCAAGAAACCGATAACACAAAAGTCAACTCCCCTTTTTCAGGTTCTGATACCAGTCTGGAAAAAAATACATTTGCATCTGAGGACACAAACTTTCTTGGTGTTTCTTCTGTGCTGAGATCAGAGAAGAAAGCCTTATCTCCTAGAAAGAAGGAGAGCACTCATTTTCTAACTGGTGGTATTGATAATGTGTCTTCTTCCTCTGGTCACTCTGAAGACGTTAGCATGGTTTTAAGTTCATGTAATGAGCCCTATAATTTTGATTCTGTAAAAGTTACCATAGATCTCACACGTGACGGTGCCTCCTTAGCTGACCTGCTGTATTCTAATAGCTCTGATTTGGAATTTGAAACACCTGTCTCAGTCAGGGCAGAAGTGACCCCATTTCAGGAACATCTGGGGATCCATACTGGGAAAGTACCCCCTGATTTCCTGACCTCTGCTCAATTTGACAGTCCCATGGAAGCAGAGGCTAGAGCAGTTGCTGAGGCTCTAGCGTCAGTTAACAGCTCACACCAGCAGAGTTCTGAAGCATCTGCTGAGCACGTAGAAGCCAGGAATAGAGTACATGACCAACCTTTGGACCTCAAAAGTGGTTTACTCAAAAAGGCTGATACATTGATTGCTGAGATTTTCAATTCTGTCAAGGAAGAGCTGACGTCTAAACACAGAGTGGGTGCCCGCCAGGAGCATATAACTGTAGATGGTATAATGAATCCAGGTACCCTGAAAGAAGACGTCCCTAAGAAAACACCATCAAAAGTGACACTAACAAAGGTCCAGCTCACAGAGTGTCTGGAACAGCAGGGCGTGGGAGGCATGTCAGAAGTCAAAGAGGAGGAGAAGGCCTGTGTTTTACCTACAGTTGGTGAGGAGCGTCTCCTTCTTGGTTCTGATAGAATAAATGTGTCTTGTTTATTGGAAGATCAAGCTAGGGAATTAGTCAATGAAGTTATTTATTCAGCCCAAGAAAATCTGACAAATGATGCTTTAGAAGATACTGAGGTTACCTGCAATTTTGAACCTCAGACTGATACTTCAGAAATTCTGAAAAGCGATAGTGTTAAACCACATGATAGAGTTAGGGAGTTCTTGGTATCAGAACAGGCAGTAAGTCAGAGCACATGTGGAATTAGTGAAAATGAAGTACTAAGTAGATTCTTCTCTGTAAGCGACTTAGTTAATGGGACAGAGTCAATTAAGGGAAGAGAAATAGTTCTCTACCAGAAACCCCCATTTTCTGGAAATGGAGTTGGGCAGTCTGATGGCATAAATTTACAGGAATCAGATACTGTTTTACTAGCTGAAGATATGCCTCAAAGACAATTAGATGATAGGGTAAAAACATGTGTATTTCTAAATAAGGACTGTAAAGAAACAACAGAGATAGTGTGTATGGATAATCACAAAACTGGGACAGAGGATACAAGAACTTTAGTATTAAATTTCAAATGGCCTCCCTCTGTGAATGAGGACATCCATGTAGCTGGTACATCCAAAAGCAGTTTGTCTGATAGTCTTGTGTGTGTATCTGAAAAAGGCTTGCCAGGACATAGCAAAAGCACATCTCTTGCAATGTCAGAAATAGGGAAAGTACACAAAAAGGATAATGAAGTAAATATAGGAAAAATTGAAGTTATACCTTCCATGCTAGAAATGGGAAAACCAAACAAGGATGCTGAATTCAATATTATGAAATGTGAGGGAATTCCTAATCCGTTAGAGGTGGGAAGAGCACATAAAAAGGATATTGAATTGAATTTCACAGAAACTGAGTCAAGAGCTGATGTTTTTGAAACAGAAGTACACCAGATGGATGCTGAGAGGTACACTGAAACAGCTGAGGGATTACCTGTCATTTTAGAAATGGAGAAAGCTAATAAGGGGAGGGACACTGAAGTGGATATTGGCAAAACTGAAGTGATGCCTGAGTCAGAAGTGAAAAATCCCTACCAGAAGGATGCTGAAGGAGATATTGCAAAGACTGAGGTGACACCTGTTACAATAGAAGTAAAAACTATTTACCAAAAGCATGCTGAAGGGGACGTTGGTAAGACTGGGGTACCATCTGTTATGCCAGAAGTAGAAAATATTTACCAAAAAGATGGTGAAGGGTTTGCTGAAAAGGCTGAAGTGATACCTATTACATTACAAATGGAAGATTTTTACCAAAAGGATGATGAGGAGGATGTTACAAAGACAGAAGTGGTAACTATTAGGTCAGAAACGAAAAATATTTACACAAATGATGTGGGAAAAGATGGTGGTAAAACTGAGTTGTTGCCCCTTATGATGGGAGTACTAAATATTTACCCAGATCCTGAGGGGAGTACTGGAGAGATGGAGGGATGTATGTTGGGAATGGAAACTACTTACCAAGAAGATGCTGAAGAGGTGGTTAGGAATCCAGAAATTGTACCTCCTGTGTTAGAAGTTGAGGACGCACATGAGGCAACATCTACCTCCTTAGAAATGGAGGAATTCTGCAAGAGGGAAGTGGGAGAGACTTTGGGATTGGCTGTGTCCATGCCCTCTGTGATAGAAATGACAAGAATATCCCCAGAAGATTCTGGTGGAGATACTGGTAAATGTGAAATACCATTCATGGAGGCAGATATTGAGAAAACATATGGAACAGAACTAGAATCGACCATTATACAAGTGGAGGACATGCCTCCTGTATTTAATACCGAAAAAGCACCCCAAGACTATGCTGAAGGGAATGCTGTAGAGAGGAAGGAAGAGCCCACTGAAACAAGGGAAGGCTTGATAGCACATGACCATAGACTCGCCTCACATTTCAAGGGCTATCAGTCACCTACATTAAGTAAGGACTATGAGGGCTACCCAGCTTTAGCAATGCCATATTTTCAAGCTGAGGATACCATAGTAAGTCTAGACAAGAGGATATCTGTTACTGCAGTATATGACAAAAGGAGAGATCTAGGTTACAGCAATGAAAAAGAAGAATCGAATTTAGCCTTCATTTCTCAGGATGAACAAGAAAATTCTTCCTTTACCATATTATATGAAGAGCCCCTTCAGGATGAGGATAAGTATGCTTCTGCAGAAGTCAGAAGAACACGGTCTGTCTTGTTTCCTGTTGCATCCCCTGACGGTGTGCCTGTGCTGGCATGTGAAAGGTCTGAGAGTAGAACTGACCTTGTCCATCATTTTGAAAAAGACATGAAATTAGGTGAGACGTTTGATAGTGATAGTTCAGAGATGTTTTTATCAGTGGAGGCCAAAAGATACAAAATTTATCCTTTAGCATTGTCTCCCATTTACGAGGATGACAGCTCCCAGGAAGACATTTTATCCAATGATGTCTCACCTGGTCACCAGGGCTCCATGAAATCAAGAGAGAATGCAGATCAGTCCTCTTCTGTTTTGTCACTTCTTCAGTCGGTATCAGAGCGTTTAAAGATGAATTTTGATGAAGATGACAGACAGGCAGCAGAGGAGGAGGAGGAAGAGGAGGAAGCATTGCATAAAAGAGATCTAAGATCCCAAAGAAGGGAGCATGTTACCTTCCAGTTGCCAGATCCTTCCATCGCATTTTACCCTGAGGTTGACCAGGAAAGCACTGGAATTTCTAAGAACTCCAATGTAATGTCAAACGAACCTACTACCTCCAATCTACAAATTGGTCTGTGGCCAGAAAAGGCCTCCTTGCTGCAAAAATCCGACCTTACATCTAAACTACATTCTTCTCTAAAGAGTGCTTATCATCAGTATTTGCAGACTTCTAAAACTCATTCTTTAGAAAAAGGAGCCAGATTCGGTGGGATTTTTCAGGAGCCAGTGTCAAAGTATTTCCGTGTTCAAGACCACTCAGACAGATTGAACCCATATATCGAGGTAAGTTGTTTTAATTGTTAACTAGTAAAGTAAAGCTTTGGGCATAACATTTTCTAAAAGCTTATTAAAATCAGTCTTTTGTTGAGCATGCATACAGGTGCCCAAAATCAGTGGGCTGGAGGAGGAAAGGAAGGCAAGCGTGGCATGACCAGACACACTGGAAAATGCTTCTTTTTCTCTCTCTGCCCCCAACCCTTCCCCACTTTCTATCTCCCCCACACACATTCCTCCCTCTCTGTTATGTCCATGGACGTTCCAGCATGAACAACGGAAAAACAAAATTTTAAAAGAAAAACAGTATTTTGAGCTTGTATAAAGTTTCTTTTTTTAACAAAAATATTAGAAGTTTATTCTTCGAAATGTATTATAACTTGTATTTTTAGCTGGATTGTTAACATTGTGAAAACAAAATTGCTTAGTCATAATAAAAAAAGCATAATAATAAAGCAAGTTATCTTGTAGTCCTTTGCTAATACGTTTTAAACTAAATTAAGTGACACACTCAGAAATTGTTGAAGTGTACTATATGTGGGAATATTGTTCCTTTACTTTTAGCTTAGGTATCTCATGAAACTATTTCTGGTAGGGCAAAGTGTTAAGAATTTGTCTGGCAACCTTTACTGAGCTGTTCATGTTGTTCAGCATATAAGGAGTGAGCAGTGATTCCAAGAAGAAGAGCCGAAGCCATTATAGCTGGAAAATGTTTTGAAATTCAATTACATATGTTTTTGACTTGAAAATATCTAGAGGTCTAATGTAGAGTAATTCACTGAATGTGGGACTCCTTTCTGTGGCATTCCTAAGATCATGGAACTTTCTATAGAATACCCAAGACCTGCATCTTTACCTAACACAGCCTTAGTAACAAACAGTAATACAGACTGACCATCCGTAATCCAAAAAACTGAAATCTGAAATACTCCAAAATCTGAAGTTTACCATAAGTGGGAAATTCCATACCTGTTCTTACATGATGGATCATAGTCAAAATGCTACAATACAGAAATACAGTATAAAATTAACTTGGGACTATGTGTATAAGGTGGACATGAAATATAAGTGAATTGCCTGTTTAGACTGATACCTCATTATTTGTATGCAGATATTCCAAAAATCTGAAAAAATCCAAGATCTGAAGCACTTCTAGTCCTAAGCGTTTTGAATAAGGGATACTCTGTCTGTAATTGAACAGCAACCAATGTCTTGCAAGACAAGTTGTTTTAAAAGAAATGATGGGCTTCAAAGAAATGTTTCTTTCATGGGTCCCCATTGCCTAGAAAACCATGTAGATCCCCCTTACTTTATACTATAAGGCCCCTGAGTTCTATTTTGTCCAACCTTCTCTTCCCACACATGGTTACATATTCTGTGCTTCCTACCTCGGTACTGTTTCTCTAGATGGTTCCCTTCTTGACTTTGTCCCTTCCTGCCTCAATCTGCCACTTTTTTTTTACTCATTGAAATCCTGTTTTCCTAGATCCTGTCAATACCATTTCCTCAGAGATTCCTCTTTGAGTCCATTGCCTCACCTCATTGTCTTTGTGTTTCACCTATGGATTTAACTCAGTCCTCCACTTAGAAGACCAATGCCAGTGTGATTGTCTGTTCCCTCCCTAAGCTATGTGCTTGTTAGGGACAGAGACAACATATTATTTTCTTGTCTGTGTACATTTCTATCTCTTGTATTTAGAGAAGCACCTTATTCATAGTGGTCACTAAGTAAATACGTAATGAACTGAATTTATAACTGCTAAGAACGTGAACTGATTTTGCTTTTGTTTTACATTTTCCATGCTTTAAATTTCAGAATGTTGACAAACAAACTCTGAGATGTAACCCAAGACCTGGGAAGGTAAGCATAACTTTCCCAGGTAGGTTAAAATAACAGGTAGAAAAAAAAAAAAAAGCAATCCTTTCTCCTTCGTGTCCAACCTTCTCTTCCCACACATGGTTACATATTCTGTGCTTCCTACCTCGGTACTGTTTCTCTAGATGGTTCCCTTCTTGACTTTGTCCCTTCCTGCCTCAATCTGCCACTTTTTTTTTACTCATTGAAATCCTGTTTTCCTAGATCCTGTCAATACCATTTCCTCAGAGATTCCTCTTTGAGTCCATTGCCTCACCTCATTGTCTTTGTGTTTCACCTATGGATTTAACTCAGTCCTCCACTTAGAAGACCAATGCCAGTGTGATTGTCTGTTCCCTCCCTAAGCTATGTGCTTGTTAGGGACAGAGACAACATATTATTTTCTTGTCTGTGTACATTTCTATCTCTTGTATTTAGAGAAGCACCTTATTCATAGTGGTCACTAAGTAAATACGTAATGAACTGAATTTATAACTGCTAAGAACGTGAACTGATTTTGCTTTTGTTTTACATTTTCCATGCTTTAAATTTCAGAATGTTGACAAACAAACTCTGAGATGTAACCCAAGACCTGGGAAGGTAAGCATAACTTTCCCAGGTAGGTTAAAATAACAGGTAGAAAAAAAAAAAAAAAGAATTATTTTAGGCTTGGGGAATTTAAGATAAGTACTTTTAACTGACTTAGAAAATGCTTGTTTTACTAAAGATTTAACATCTATAGTAATATTTGCTTTCTGTATACTAGAATTTTTCTTCTATATAGTAGCATATTTTGAATTTAATTTAAATGAATTCTTAAAATTACTTATTGTGCCTTGTTTTAGGTTGTTATCTATGATCTCCATGGAACTAAATATAAACAAGAGATCTACTGTAATATTCCTGATGCTACATCATGGTCTTTTCCACATGGAGTACTGATAAAAGTTGTAAGAGGCTGGTAAGAAGGCCCCTTAAAATACTTTATAGTGTATTTTCAAGATTAAGTATGTCTTATTGAGTTTTTTTGTGTGTATGTGTGTGAAAATCATATTCCCTTTCCTTTATTTTTTGACAGAGTATTTTAAAACAGTGTTTTATAACGTAATTGCTCTGTTTATTTACTATGGCAGAAAATATTGACTGTTTTTAGTCATTAAAGCCACAGGAAGACATAGACCTAGTATATACTATCCATACATCCAGTATCACACTGTAACTGCATCATTAGCAGGGTAAGTTTGGCAAGTGAAGTTGAATGCTTCAGTTGAATGAAGCATAGCTTTGAAAATGAGTTCAGAATTTGTGGGATGCAAAGGAATGTAGAGGCCACATAGTTAGAAGTCATTTGTATAGCTGACATGCTCAAGAAGTGAAGAATTCTTTGTGTTCTGAAAATGATGGAGAACCTCATTTGTTATGATAGACCATAGACTAAGTCCATTCTGGAACCAGAGTTTCTTTGTCCAGTGTTTAAGTTACTTTCTGATCAGTATTCAGGTTGAAAGCAGTATAATGTATTGTTGTCCTCATATGAAATGGGACACATGTACTGTATTACTGAGCAACAGGAAAAGCAGTATAGAAGTGTCATTTGTAATTATTAAACAGTCTTTTCTAATAGAAGTGTTTAGGTTTATGTCTATAGCATCTACAAAGTCCATATACATGTACATAGAGACATAGGCATGTATCGTGAGATGTTCAGAGAATATTTTTATTATTTCCCAGTCATATGTGCTTTTGTCCTTTCTTTACTTAGTCTGTACTTAAATTAGTCTAGTTTGCTGTTCCAAAAATAGGATTATATGCTGACAGTGGAAGACAGCTCAACCTAAAAAATTTAGGTAGATAAAATAGTCTGTGACTTTTATGATTTGTTTTATGCCTCATTTCTTAGAAGACAGAATATAACTTATCACTGCATTTGTATTTGTCTAGCTGGATTTTGTATGAGAAGCCACATTTCCAAGGCCAGAAATGTGTGTTGGAAGAAGGGGAAAAGGTGTTAAATCATGACTGGGTTCTACAAAACAGAAAACATCCGCACAGAAACTTCGTGTTGGGTTCTATCAAACGTGTCTTAAAGGTAACAAAACTGTCGGTTTTTCCTTATGTTACATTTTATTTGTCAAGTAGGAAAGCGGTGGTGTGGCCTAGCAATGTTTAGAAATGGTAGCTAATATCTGTGTAATTTTGTTATGGGTTGTCAGAAAATTGTGATGCAGTTTAGCATAGAAAAACATAGAAAAATACACGACTTTTCTGACAACCCAATAATTCTCATTATCCCATTGATAATATTCTGAATTTATACATATAAAAAATACAGTGAATGATAATTTAACATGTTAACAGTATTCTGGCCCATAAAATGGAACATGCTGTGCCATACATGTGTATGTGCATTTATGTGTATGTATTTTAATAGCATTTGGGGAATACAATCTAGAAATCTTTAGAAAAAGAGACAATATTTCCAAATATATCTTCTTTTTATTTTTAAATAATAATTTATTTAATTTTATTTATTATTACTATTACTCAATTTGACCAGAGACAGACACAGAGAGCGAGGGAGAGTGATACAGTGAGCTGCCAGGTCTAGGATTTGAACCATGGTTGGTCATGTGGGAGTCCAGCCTCTTAATCAGCAAGTCACCTGCTGGCCCCAAATATAGTTTTTTCTTATGGACATCACTACTACTTTGTATAGGTGTGTGTGTGCATGTGTGTGTGTTTATAAGGGGAAATTAGAGAAGGAAGATTGCAGAGAGGAAGAGAAAATGTACTTTTTAACTATTTACTTAGAAGACACTATTTAATACAAACATGAAGAAAGTCTTCCAGTAATAAAACATTTTGTAATTAGTTATGTGGAGATTTACAGGAGGAGTAAATTAATGACAAAGACAGATCTCAGATAAGGACAGATTTCTTCCATGTATTCTTAAGATTTTCTTCAGTAGTAATATAATACCCTGTGGGACTAGCAGTTGGTGTAATGGCTATGTTGATGGACTCCCATGTAGTTGACCACGGTTCCAATCCCAGACCCGGTGGCTTAAACTCATGCCAGGCGCATGTGCTTACGTGCCCAAGATCCCAAGAGGAGAATGGAGGAGAAGGGAGTGTGGCATGGCCATCCCCCCTGGGGGGTGATTTCTCACTTTCTGTCTCTCTCTCTTGTCTTTCTGGAGAGCACATGTGACCTATAGCAAAAAACCACTCAAAAAATACATTTACAAAATGCATTATATAATGCAATTACTTTATACATAAAAAAAATATAAATTGAGGTGGGCTCTATCATGATGGTTTGGATAGATGTTATTAAACTTACTGATTTTTTTCTGAGAGAGAGAGTTTTGCTATAGGGTTCATGTGCTCACTGGAGAGACAGAAAGTGAGAAATGATCCCTGAGGGGATGGCCATGCCACAATCCCTTCTCCATTTTCCTTTTAGGATTTTGGAGACGCATGCACAAGCATCCAGCATGAGTTTTAAGTTGCCAGGTCCAGGACTTGAACTGCAGTCAACTACGTGGGAGTCCAACCATGTAACCATTACACCATCTGCTGGCCCCTGTTATTAAACTCTTGATAGTTGCAAATACAATACCAAGAAATTAAAGATCGTATACAGAAAAACCAAAGTTATCATTAAGAGATGTTCTGCATTTCATGTGAATCAGGACTTTCTGCAAAATTAAAACTAATCCTGTATCTAGCAAATACTGGATCTGCTTTTGGACCTAGTACTGTGGTCTGGGCACTGGGGATGGAACATGTGTGGCATACAGTCTTTTACTTCAGTTTGTAAAAGTCTGGAAGAGAGCTGAGTTACCCATCCATCTGACATGGAATAACTCCCCAGGGGGGATGACCATCTGTCAGGCTCAGTGGGCACACACAGCAGAGGTACTTCACCTCTTAAGAAGAGGTACCTCACCTGGAGCAGGTGTCCCTGGATTAGAATCTTGATAAATAGGAGTTATGCAGAGTGGGGGCTGTGAGGGAGTTGGTGGCTTGGTGGTACTGCAGTGGAGAGGGGGAGGGCTGGGTCCATTTTCATTCACAGATTTTACTGCAACCAGCTCAGTTCTGCAAGCTGCATTTGACTGTTCACTTAATTAGCTAACTCACTAGAAATTCTTTGAAATGACTAATTACTTTGTAGGTGTAATCTTCTAAGGTTTATGTAACTTGTGCTTTTGTGCGTGCCTTGTGAATACCAGGCACCATGCCAGGCCTCGTGGGGAAAAAAATGAATAAGATATGGCTAACAGCCATTTCTCCAGCCTCTGTAAAATCCAATAACAATAAAATCAACAAGTTCAGTCTGCAGTGTGGATATTTGAATAGATCTTTGCACGTCTAGCATTTGCTTAGAAAATATTATAGGAAAGAATAAGTCATGCTTGTATTTTTTCCCCTTTTCCATTGTTCTTAGTTTTTTGTTTTGTTTTGTTTTGCTGCAGTGTTAGTGCCCACATGTCTTACATAGGCTAGCAATTTTCAGTGAGGAAGGAAAATAAAACTATTAGGCTTTGAATGGAAAGGGCATTGATATTGTTCTAAATGTTTTACAAAGTAATAATCAGGCATCAAACTGCTTCCTTTTCCCAGCCATGTCGGAATCCTGCCTCTTGAGAGCATCATTGCCATGCTGAATTCATCTAGGCCTATACCAACTTTATCTTATTCCATCATCTTTGTTTTAGGTGCTCTCATCTGTGTAAGCAAAACATTAATGACCGTTACAGATAATATTTTAATGGTGTCTTCACTTTGCTGAGAGCACATACAGCAGGTGCTCTCGGTTATCAGCAGTTGTAGATTCATTCCACTCAAGGGTCATCTTGCCCTCAGTGGAAATAATTGAGGATGGAAGCAGCAGTGCAGTGAATCTTTGACTCAAGTGCTTTCTTTAATCAATCAGAGTAAACTAGTATTTCAGATTACTATGTTTACCATGCACTTGATATTCTTTTGAAAGGTCTGACATTTTTTCTTCTGGCCAGGTGTTACTTAGGTTATGTTCTCATTAATATGAGCCAAGAACAGAAAAACCTTTTATTAGATCAGAAACTGGAATTATCTTATGTAAGGTGATGACAGCTAGATTTTCTTGTTAACTGTAACTCATTTCTACCACATTTCTCTCCTATAACTTTATTTCCATCTCAACTAACAGCTAATAGGATAAGCTTGCACATTTCACCAGGGTATATTTGTAAAGTATAGCATGACAAGAAGAGTCTGGGAGGAAGCCATACAAACTTAGAATAAACTGTTTATCGTTGCTAGGTTACTATAAAGTGCCCTTTAGTTGCGAGTGTTTGGCTGCCTTTGTTGATCAGGAATTATACAAGTCTTGCAAAAGATGCTATTTCTGGACAGCCACCATGAAGAAGACAGAACTTATTAGTGAACTCTTTTTCAATCAACAAGAGCAAAATTGAGCTTCTCGTAAACTGAGAACCTAAGCTTCTTATTTTTGTTTACTTTCATTTTTTTAGTTAATCATACTTTTGCTGTTATGCTATTTCCTTTTGTGTTGTTGTAGACTTAAACGCCTCTTAGCTTTTTAAAATTTTTTCTGTTAAAGTACACCACCCAAACATTGTTTGTATAACACAATGCAGAGGAAGCTTGTTTGTGTGAGACACTTAGCTATGTATTCTGTTACTGTACCTCAGGTCCCTGGGGGGACATTAATGTGGTAGCATTTGAAATAATGTTCTAGAACTCTATTATTAATAGTATACAAAAGAGCCTTGAAGATTGAAAAGTGACTGTTCTGGATATTTCTATTTTTGAAATGAAACTTCAAAGGAAATATACCTTATACTTTAAAGGATATAGTAAACCTAATTTTCTGAAGAATGAGATCTTTACATTTGCTTGCTTTTACATATTAAGAATAATTGAGAACTGAGACCAGCAGATGGTGTAATAGTTACATTGTTGGACTCCCATGTAGTCCACCACCGTTCAAGTCCCGGACCTTGCGGTTTAAAACTCACACTGGGTGCGTGTACTTGCATGCCCAACATCCCAATAGGAAAATGAAGAAGGTATTGTGGAGCGGCCATTTCCTCCCCCCACCCCCAAGGGGTATTTTCTCACTTTCTGTCACTCTGTCTCTCTCTCTCTCCGGTAAGCACATGCTCCCTATAGCAAAAATCTTTCTTAAAAAGAAAACACTGAGAACTTAGTTTGAGAAAAGATATAAAAATCAGAAAGTAGCAGTTGCAAAATTGCAAAACTTGTAATAAAAAATACTAGTGTCCAGTTTCTAATGAATACTACCTATAATTGTTATTGCATTGACTTATTATTAAAGCATATTTGTTTAAATTTTACAATGTCATGGATGATCTTATGCTACTTAAACTTAAGCTGTGTAAGTATATGCTCATGACTACTGCAGTAGATTGTATGTTCAGACAAACGTGCTGTCATTTCAGAAAGGGAAAATAATTGTGATTTTTTTGTTCCCTAGGAAGTGCGAGATAGGATTTTGAGTTAGAACTGGACTATTGTAAGAGCTTTTCATAAAAGAGATAGAGAATTATCTCAGTAGTTGAGAAGCAAGGGTAAGAGAGGCATCTTCATAACTTACAGAGGCCGCAGAGGGAGTAGAGATCGTGGAAGTCAGTTTGACTACAGAATTGTGGAAAGTCTGTGTAATTCAGTTTTGGTGCCATAGTGTAGAAAAGCAAACAGAAGTATGAATTTGATGTTATTGGGTCTGGAGCCAGAGAAGTGTCTTGAGAAAAGTAGTGTTCTAATAAGCTCAGCTTTGTAGTGAGTGGTGAGTACTTCACTGGTGGTTATGAGATTGTGACTAGGCCCATAATCAAAGTTTGGGCCTGACCAAAGGCTCTGACAGTGGGAATAGGTAAGAAGAGAGATACAATAGTGAAATTTTACAAAAAGGTATAGCAGGACATGGTGACAGTATGTAATTTTTTATGACTATAATGAAGGATCAAATTTCATAATGCACTTCTTCACACCGCACTAAAAAAATTAGTCTCTCAAGTAAAAAAACAGATTTCCTTTACCTCACCTCTAATTCCTACTTCTTTTGTCAATGTAAATTAGATAAACACACTAAAGGGATAGAGCTTCTCTATTTATTTTTAATGGTCCCCATGAGATCAACTTTCATTTAACTCCCTTTCCTCTTTTATGGCTTTGTTATGCTTCTAAGAAGGAAGGCTTATAGACATTTTGCACGCAGATAGTTCACTAACTCTGAACGTTGCCTAATGGAACACGTCTTTGAAAAGCAGCAGGAAAAAGTGGGAAAATAATTTTTCCATCAATGATATTTATAATTTAATGTTTTTTCCACAACTCCTTAGAAAAACGTATTTTATAAAGAGGTTAAGGAGAAACAAAGTTTATATTGTTTTCATGAACAAATTCAACTGAACAATGAAAATAATTGTAACTTTATTCCCAGGTTTGAGAATACTAAACTTTGTCTAGATGATGTTAAAATCAAGTTATTTATTTTTAAAACAACAGGATTGCAGCATTCCAGAGATTGAACTTTGTCCACAGTCTGACCCAGCATGTTGTCCTGTCTACATACAGCGAGCAGTCCCCAATTTGGAAGAGCTGAACATCCCCAAATCTGTGTCCTTTACTGTAAAGTCAGGAGTGTACGTATCAGTTTCTCTTTATTGCAGTGATTGATGACCACTCCAGTTAAATTTTTGTTTGATATTTCAGTAGGCAGCATACGTATTTCCAAAGTCTTATTTAATTAACTGCATTTGTATACTACTCGATACCCAAGAAATATTACTGCAGGGGATAAAGCAGATTCTGTCTTTGGATCCAATTAAAGCTTTGATGTATGACTCATAGGAACAAGTTATAGGACTCTCAAACATAGTTCTTGATAGATGGATGGATTTATTGTCTTTTCATCTAATAAATTTTGAGACTGAGAAATAAAAGTATGTTCCTGTCCTAAAGTTCTGAAGTCTGAACTATTTCTAGAATGTCCAAGTGCTAATAGTTATTGAATGTGACCTTAGTGCCAGGAACATGTCACTTGTTTTTTGCTCCTCGCGAGGCAGGTAGTGTTACCTTCGTACTGTAGATTAATGATTTGTCCCAGGTTGCCAGCGCATCAGCATGGATTTGGTACTAGACCTCTCTGATTCCAAAAGTATCTGTAGGACTAGAAGTCAGAGTTCAGTCCCAGATTGGCTGGAATCACAAAGCCTATGGATGCCTATTTCACCCTGGATCTCTCTTTTATTTTTAAATTGTTTTCATCTGCTGATGATTGGTGTAAAATTTTGGAGTCCCCATGGGACCTCTTTTTTTTGTCTCTTCCCACCATAAATTAGACCTTTTGGGTAGACTCAATACTACAATTGGCCCTATCTGTGAAAAACATCTATAATTAATAAACTAAGCTGGAAAAAAAGTTGGGGTTTTGAGGAATCTTATTTTGAATACTGTTCCTGAGGCAGCTAAGAGAACTGATAGAGATTCTCACATGTGGGTCAGAATGTAACCTGCTTAGTGGAATTCCTACCTCCGATTGCCCCAGTTTCAAAAAGAATGGAATAAAATGGATTTTTCAGTTATGTCCTGTTTGCTTTAAAGGGATCACATGTTATGTATATTGGAAAATTCTAAGAAAAAGAATGCCTAGCACTTGGAAATCCTATTGTACATTTTATAGTATAGTGTGCTAATGTCAGTACAGTATTTAATGACGTGTTAATTTTGTTGTTGCATACTGTCTGTATAATCACTTTGCGTAAGGTTTCCTAGTGTAATTCTATAATAGGGAATTTGGGGATTCTTTTGGGCAGAACTTTTTAGTATTATGCAACTAGACTTAAGTGTTATCGTTATACTTTAACAAACTATTTTTTTTTATTTAGTTGGCTTGCATACCCAGATATTAATTTTAAGGGTCAAGCTACAGTTTTAGAGGAGGACCATGGGCTGTTTGAGATTTCTGCAACAGAAATGAAATCATTACATCCACTTCAAATGGTAAGCAAATTTAAAAAGAAGCATTCCTTTTCCCAAATTCCTTTGAATTCAGAATTAAGTAGCTGTGATTATTGCTCATGCATCTCAGGCTCGAGAAATGAATATGTCTACTACTGATTTGGCAAACTGAGTTTCTGTTTCTCTTTATTGCAGAGAATGTATGTGGCACATGCCTGAAATTACTCTTTTGTGCCAAATTTATCATCACACATGCAATTTTTATAAGTGTTCTGTGAAAATTCTGAATATTTAATGAAGTTCTGAGTTTGCCTTTTGTTGGTTATTGGAAAAATACTTGTAGTAAATTATATTCACTCATATAATGATAAGCTCAGCATTAGTAGTAATAAATGGATAGTTCCGTCAGTGTTAGCTTTCTTAAAAATAGTGCCTGAAGTATTTATTCCTCTTTGTTGTAAGCATTTCTATTCAATTAATGTTGGTATGCAGTAAACCATTTTTGATTGTTCTGTGTCTTTCAAGAAAAAAAATAGAGACCAGGACAATCTGAGAAATTTTACAAACTCACGATGTGGAGTGGCATTTGAAATAAGAAAATTACAGAATTTGTTTGCTGTGGAGGAAAAGGTTGCTTTTTTTACTGTACAACTTTGAAGTCCTAAAGACATTAAGTGTTAATAAAAGTGTTAGTAGAGCCTAGAAGAGGGAGTGTGGTTATCACAATGCTCTCTCTAATTTAGAAATAGCCCAAATAGTTTAGGGAAGACATTGGATTAATTAGCTTAGGAATCTTCTCTGCTAAATGAGATTTCTAAAGCTACTAGCAATTTTTTTTTTTGGACACTTTGTAGTGGAATTGAATTTTAGTTGGTCATTTGTGCTCAAGGACAAAGCTCAATTTCCCTCTGTGCAGTGATTTTAATCTGAAATGACTCTTTTTAAGATGTCTTATCCCATCTACATTGATATAGATGGTTTTACCTTCTGTGGAATTATGTACTTAAAATTTAAGACTTATTGGGACCAGCAGATGGTGTAAAGGTTATGTCGCTGGATTCCCACACTGTCAACCGCAGTTTGAGTCCTGGACCCAAAATTCATGATAGGCATGTGTGCATGCATGCCCAAGATCCCAAAAGAGAGTGGAGGAGAAGGGATTGCAGCATGGCCATACCCCCTGGCGGGGGGTGGTTTCTAGCTTTCTGTCTCTCTGTCTGTCTCTGTCCTTTTTGGCAAGTGCACATGCCCTGTAGCAAAAATCTCTCTGAAAAAAAAATTAAGATTTATCACAACTTAAATTTGACTGGTATGTAATATTCACAATCAGAGTTTTGTATAACCTACATGTGTCACCTAGTTACTTTAAAATGTTTACATATCTAATATTAAAATATCTTGTCATCTTAAGGGTGGACTGAAAGTGGAAATGCCTATGAACTTAAAGGTAAGTCTTGAATAGACTTTTGTAGCAGGTTGAAAAGTCTGAATGTTTAAGTATTTTGAATGATTAGAATGCAAAATGACCTAAATATATGATAATGCCTAACTAATGATGTTGGCATGGTAGAAAGTGACTCTATAAAATGTTTGCTTAGGACCTACCTATCAGTAAATGGGGAGCAGCATTAATAGCAAAGATGTATTGATAGCCCATTCAAACCCTCCAATAGTCTACAATAGGGTAGAAAGGTAGTAAGCTTGATTTCTGCTTGGGAGGTTGGTGCTTGAGATAGCAGCTGGATGTTCAAGTGGAGGTATCTAGCAGGCATTTTGGAGTGATGCTCAGGAAGTACTCAAGGCTGATCAAAAGGCATTGTAGGTGGCTCTCCTCAAATTGATGTTCATTTGTATAAATATGAGTATTTGAGGGAAAAGTAGAGGCAATGAAAAGTGGGAGTACATGGTGCTAACATCAAATGAATTTGGAGAAAGAAAGAAGAAAACAATTTTAAAAAGGGACAGGAAGAAAATAGTGCAATGATCAAAGGTGCAAACAGGCCTTCAATTGATTAGCAGAGGCAGGTATGGAAATAGGTATTCATCCATGTTCTTTTCTTTCAAAACAAGATACAACTTTCCAATCCTCTCATTTCTGAGCTTCCTTTGATAAGGCTGAAAAAGTCAAAAACTGACTTTTTTCATCACATAAGTGGAGTCTTTTAAAACTATGTGTTTTACCCTATCTAATAAACCTTTAGTGGACGTTGGAATAATATATATCAGAGTTCAAAAATACTTAAACCTGAGTTCTACTCTCAGAGATACTGTTTTGATCTGGGGTGTGGTCAAAAATTTTCAAAGCTACCTGGGTGATTCTGACTTGGGAGGAAGGTCACAACCTACTGATCTAAGAGATGCAGAATGATCGGTAATGCTCTCTGAGTGACCCTGCCTCAGTCTCCTCATATGGTGAGTCACAGTGTTCGTCAGACTGAGTCTTCTTTGGACATTTGCAATCAGAAAGGTTGTAGGTGCATATAAGTGGATTGGTTATCCTAAAAAATCACAATCTGTAAATGATTAGATCTTACTTTATGGTTTACTCGTTAAAGAATTATTGCTTTTTACTTAATTTAAATGTAATTAACATACTTAACATACTCAACTGAAATCAAACTTTTATCATTGCATATATAGCACATTGTGAAAATCTGTTATGTAGAAAAGAGCAGGCTCAGTACTGTATTTTTTTTTCAGTTTGTATATGTTTTCAGAATAGAAATAAGAAATTTCATAATGCATTCCCATATGTTTAAATACATTAAACCAATAAGGAGAAACCTCCTTATTTCTAAAAGGAGGTTTTAGAAATAGAGGTTTCTGAGAGAAAAGTAGAGGCAATGAAAACTGGGACTGCATGGTGCTAACATCCAGCAAATTTGGAGAAAGAAAGAAGGAAATAATTAAAAAATTTTTAGAAATTTCTAAAGCCTCCTTTTAGAAACAATGAGGTTGCTCCTTATTGGTTTAGTTTATTTAAGCATATGGGATCCCATTAATTGCCACATTTTCAAGGTGCTGTTAGTACACAAATTATTTTATTAGCCACAAATAGGACCATATGATAGGATGCCTATAGGTTAACATGTTTTCACTGTTATCACTTCCACCTATGTAGGCAGCTGGTACTTGAGAAGTAAAAGATGGTAAAATAGAAGAGAAATGCTGTGCTGATCCAAATTTGAAACAAATGAAATGCTGGAAATTTATTTCTTAGTATACTCATTGTAGTCCCCACTGAAGCAAAAATCCGATTTAAAAAATCATAATTTTTCAATTATTTCTTATTGTTAGGAAGTTTTGTATTTTAAGAATTTGCATTTTTTTTTTCTCAATGAATAGTAACTAACCAGAAGAGCAGTTGGGACCAGCAGTTAGTGTAATGGCTATGTCGCTAGACTCCCATGTAGTCGACTGTGGTTCAAGTCCTGGACCCGGTGGCTTAAAACTCACGCTGGGTACGTGTGCATGCATGCCCAAGATCCTGAGAGGACAATGGAGGAGAAGGGATTGCGGCGTGGCCATCCCCCCTGGGGGGTGATTTCTCGCTTTCTGTCTTTCTGTCTGTCTGGCGAGTGCACCCACCCACCCTATAGCAAAAAAAAAAAAAAAAAAGAAAAGAAAAGAAAAAAGAAGAGCAGTTAGTGTTACAAGAAACAAATCTGTTTTCTCAAATTAACAGTTTATCATTATACCATAGGCCTTCAAGAACCATAAATATGAAGCAATCTATATTAAATTCTTATGCTTATAAAGATTAAGACAGCTTATGAGATGGTCCTAGGATTTGGGTGACTAGAACAATCTAATTCTATGCAAGTATATTAATATGACAGTCATATTTAATTAAGGTATTTTTCCTTTATGATAAGGACTCAAAATATTCCATGTGAATATCAGGTGCTCTTGTCTTAGTAGACCTTTTTTGTGTGGCTCAGAGATATACCTGGGCCTGGGTGACCTTATAAAGTAAAAGTTTACTTACGAACTTAGGCTTCTGCTTGTTTGTAAATAAAGTTCAAAGTCCCAGGCCTACAGCATGACTGAGGGAAGTAAGGGACAGTGGAGACGTGCTGAGAGAGCACTTCTGATGGTCCCTCCTTTCTGACAACCAGCTCTCATGAGAAGTAGCCTCGTCTCAGAAGAGCTACAACTCACTGGGTCTCATGAGACATCATTCATCATGGGAGGCTGTTGCCTTCATGATGCAGTCACTGTCAACCAGTCACTGCCCACAAGGCCTCATTCTTGCCAGAGGCACATGTATCAACCAAAGAGAGAATGAGAAAGAGCGAGTACTCCCCAGTGGGCATGGTCACACTATAATCCTTTTTCCTCCATTTGACTATCTCAGTAGAATTTTGGACACATATACACAACAGTATGTTTTTCTAGCCTCTGGGACTGGGATTTGAACCACAGTAGGCCATGTAGAATCTGCCTTGCTATGCACAACGTTTAACAGCTATATTATGGCACTGGTTTAGGTTTTCACTTAATACGTTTATAATATAGTCAATATAATGAAGTCCCAAAACATGAATTTCTGGGGGACTTATTCTAACCATATGAGCTGTAGTAAAAAGTATGCATTAATGGGGGAAAAAAAAAGAAAACAGACAGCAGTACCTATTCATGTTGTGGTCTTTAGTGTTATCAAAGTAAATTAATATATAATCTATTCTATAATATGAACATATTTAAATATTTTAAAAATATTTTTCAGGTTATTATCTATGAAAAACCTCACTTCCATGGACAGGCCAAAGAGTTTAGTGAACATATAGATTCTGTCCCTAATTTTTTAAGAAACAATGAAGACTTTCATGGAATTGGATCAATTCGTGTCATTGGTGGAGTGTGAGTGTCTTATTTTCAATATTTGATTTAGTCTGATTTTGAAGAGCAGCACATAAAATGTGCTAAGCAGAGCAAAAACAACTTTGTCTAAAAGGATAGATTCCTTCTGTGATATGGGAAGTAAAAATAATAGTTACTAATGTCTTTCTGTGAATACTTGCCGATATTAAAGATTTAGGATTAAACATAAAATGTGCAATAATTTCTAAAATTTCACAACTTAGTACTTCCAAACACAATATAGGAGACAAAACTGCAGGATACAAGGTTTTTGCACAGGTTTTGAACATGAATAAGAGTCCAGTTTTCATCCTTTCTTCTATTGATCGAGGCTGATTTATATGCTGAGAACCTTGGCAGTGAGCCCTCTCCCTAAAGAAGCCATTTAGCTCGTGTGCTTCCATAGTCCAGGGTTTCTGACATCGAGTGCCCCCGTCCCTGAGCTGCTTTTGAGGGCTCCCCCCAAGAAGCCCTCGGTAGAAACCTGAGTGTCACTGTCTTTGCTGCCATCTCAGCCTCAATCAGCAGTTACCAGAACAGCAGAAAGCCCAGAAAATCTGTGCTCAGACTGAGATGTGCTTTTGTATTCTTATCCTGGCACAGAAAGCCAGGGAGAAGAAACTTACCTCATAGTTTATTCACCATTGTCAACCCAGTGTTGGAATCCCTCCAGAAACATTCTGCGGTCTCTGTTGTTATACTGGTTATTTTAAAATGTCAATTCATTTTCATTTGGTCTTCAGTGTCTCTTGATACTTGCTTTAATATCTTATAATTTGTTTATGCTACTCCAGTAAAAGATGCCAGTAGAATATTTTATTCATAAAAGTTAAATGACTTGTCTAAGATTATTCAGTTTAGAGACATAGACATTGCAGTGTCTGACCGAAAAAAAAAAAAAAAAGCTCCAGGACGGAACCCTACTAAAGATGAGCCCCCAAGAAGCCCTCGGTAGAAACCTGAGTGTCACTGTCTTTGCTGCCATCTCAGCCTCAATCAGCAGTTACCAGAACAGCAGAAAGCCCAGAAAATCTGTGCTCAGACTGAGATGTGCTTTTGTATTCTTATCCTGGCACAGAAAGCCAGGGAGAAGAAACTTACCTCATAGTTTATTCACCATTGTCAACCCAGTGTTGGAATCCCTCCAGAAACATTCTGCGGTCTCTGTTGTTATACTGGTTATTTTAAAATGTCAATTCATTTTCATTTGGTCTTCAGTGTCTCTTGATACTTGCTTTAATATCTTATAATTTGTTTATGCTACTCCAGTAAAAGATGCCAGTAGAATATTTTATTCATAAAAGTTAAATGACTTGTCTAAGATTATTCAGTTTAGAGACATAGACATTGCAGTGTCTGACCGAAAAAAAAAAAAAAAAAAGGAATAGGCAAAACATCTGAAATAGAAGTCTAAGAGACTGCAGTTTACCAGATGTGTAGGTCATGTCAATTATTAGTCTGGCATGCTGGTGGTCAATTTAATTCCTTTCTCTTGAATTCAGAAACATTTATTTGGAGCTTAAAAGACAAATATGGTTTGGATAAACACATCTTATTGTGTTGTAATTATTTGTAGTATTCTCTGGTCTGTGAACTCACATGCAATTCCTTCTTAACCCTGCTATAAAATACATTTGCCTTTCCCACCCTTTGGAATGTAAATGTTTTTCAAATTAATTAAATTGGTTTAAAATCGAATGTGATGCACACAAATTTAGACTTACAAAATTTTTACAGCCACTTTATTAGAATCTCAGGAAAATCTGGCTTACAATACAGTAAATACACTTTCTGTCTTCATTTATTAACTGAAGGAGAAAAATGTGGTGTCCCCACTTAAGAGTGAGCAACTAAGTTCATTATATTTACACCATTTCTGCCATTTTTTGCTTTTATTCACTGTTTAATTTGTAGGTACTATGACTTCCTCATCCCTGTCTCATCTTGAGGAAATTGAGAAAATAAGGTTGATGTTTCTGCATATCTTAAAGAATTATTTTATTATTTATTTATTTATTTATTTTCATTTGACCAGAGAGGAGCATAGAGAGAGTGAAGGCAACCTACTGGGTCTAAGACTCGAACCATAGTCAGCCATGTGGGAGTACAACACCCCTAACCACCAAAACACCTGTAGGCCCCTCTTAATTTTTTTAGATAACATAAATTTTATATATTTCAGATAGATAAACTGAATCTAAATTAAATGTTAGTCTATTAAGAGAAACTGGGCAGATTTTTGGAACATCATTATGTAGTAGATTTATTAATCTTAATCTGTCTTTTAACATTAAGACCTTTTATCAGTTTTACTTTTCCTTACCCCACGTATAATTAAAAGCATGTTTTGAGTAGCCACATTTATGTAAAGAAAGCTTAGAATTTATTCTGTAAAAATTTCCACCTAATAGTTCAAGCTTCAAATATTAGTCTCTTTATGTATTACAAAATACTATAGTACATAAATAGGTTTATAAATTTATTCCAACTGATGTGGGCCCCATTCCCCCTTATCCTGCCATACATACATTTATACACAGAAAGCCAGATAGGAATGACTACTGTTATTTGTTACCTTATGAAAACAATTCATTTGTTTATTATTTTTTTTATCTTCACAACTGTAATAGGAGTAGAAAAACAAAGATAGACCTTATTTTGACAACTCTTGAATTCAGAAGCCCCCTAATTGTCCTTGGAATCTGCCCAGTTGGTGGGGGTCTCACTTTATACAATGCAATTAAAAACAGAATTAAGCAGGTCAGCATGTTTTCAAACCACCTATGCTCACATTATAGTCAATACTCCATTAGATTACTTCCTAAAAAAGTAATTTCATAGAGGACTTTAGCAAATAATTATGTTTATCAGCGTACTTTGCTGATAGTTTTAGAAGTCAAGAAACTTCTGTTCCTGGAAAGTACTCTACCACAGTACTTCCTGTTTTCATGATCACCACTGATAAAATGGCGGTTCCAGCATCACCCACTTGAAGCACTTACAGGTGTCTTTGTATACTTGTAGGGCTGCAGGGCCAATACCAGCTCAGTTGCTTTCCCAGTTCTTTGCTAAACCTTCTTGTACTGTGGGTTTGATCTAAATCCAGGTGAGAGGTTCCCTTGATTTAAACCCCAAATAAACATTTAATTATAGTGATCATTTTGTGGTTTTGGAAGAGCTTAATCAGTAAAGTAAGAATGATTATCTTTAGATTTCTGTGTGGGTTTATAAATTTTCTCATTTATAAATGAGAAAATGGGTTTATAAATTTCTCATTGGTTATATGTGTTTTCTGTTATTTTTATTTTGGCAGACTACTCTCTGACCATCCTAGGTGTAGTATCAAAGTCATGCCACAAACATTTAATAAGCAAGTGTTGCTCTGTTATCATTCTATAATTGACCTTTTGTTGGAAAAAGCCTCCAAACTATGAAAGTATTGATCTTTAAAGCATTCACGATTTGTCTTGTCTTTTTTTTTTTTTGGTATAGGTCACATGCATTCACTGGAGAGGGACAGAGACAGGAAGTGAGACAGTACCTCCTGGGGAGGGGCGGGGCGGGGAATGGCCATACCACAATCCTTTGAATCCCTTTTTGGGTTCAGACTCATACCAGACAGTTAGCCTTGTAGAACCTGGTTTGGAAACTCATACCTCACAGTTACCCAGGTGGGACCCAGCCATCTTAACCTCCACACCACCTGCTGACTCATTTGACTGTCTTTGTAAGTGGAAATTAAACTGATGTGTTGCTTTCTAGTCTGTGGATATGAGCAACTATGTGCTTTATCATGATTTTCTTTCTCTTGCTTTCTTGACTATAATTTTATTAATGGCTCAATTGAATGTCCTCTGCATTTCTAGGTGGGTTGCCTATGAAAAAGAACATTTTAAAGGCCAGCAATTCTTGCTTGAAGAAGGAGACTTTGAAGACAGTAATGCTTGTGGGGCATTAAGTGGCCCAATCTTATCTTTCCGGTACCTACAAGCTGTGAGTTACCTTTCTTACCCTACATTTTCTACCTTTTTTATATGAAAAATGACATGAGTGCTGATGGAACTGGAAGATATAAAATGTTTCTAACACCTTAGAGTATTAAACTGACCTGCTTATGTGAGTTGCTTCTTTTTTTTTAAATTCTTTTTATTTGATTTATAATTTTTATTTTTATTGCCAGAAGGCACATGCACTTTCCAGAGAGAGAGGGAGAGAACTCCCCACCCCCCAATAGGGGGGGTGTAGTCACAAATACTTTTTTTCTCTATTTCTTCATCTTGGTCTACTTTCTATCAAATGTCAGTCTCATTGGTTTTTATGTCTCAGTAGTATTCCGTAGTGTGTATGTCCCACATTTTTTCAGGTTTGACACTGTGTCCCAGTGTGGATCTGTCACTTGAGGTCAAGTCAGCCTTACTCTAGAACCTACCTCATATTACCTATTTTCCATTGTTACCAAATGCTTAGACTTAAATAGCACCTTAATAATGGAATTCTTTTAGTCAAAGACTTACTGGCATTTCATTTATAGCTATAATTATAGGGTCACATTGCAGACCTAAGTATAAATATAATAAATATTTACATGATTTTCAGATACGTTATTATTATTTTAATTTGTCAGGGGGTACGTGCACTTCCTAGAGAGAGAGAAGAACAGTGAGAAAGCACCCCCTTGGAAATGGTCACACGCAATCCCTTCTTCTCCATCTTTCACATTTTGGGGTATACACACACATACCTGACGTGTTTCTCAAGTTGTTGGGTCCCTAACTTGAACCTGACCATGTGGGATCCAGTCACCTTAACCACCATACCACAGGCTGGCCCCTCAGATACTTAATTTATAATTTAAATTTATATTCAGATGAAATATACTAAAATTTATTTAGATGTAATGCACTAAAAATTTAGCTGTATTTGGACAGTATAAAATCTATATTTGTATATATTGTAAGAGTGCATTAAAACTTATCATGCTATATACAAAAAAATTATATACTTCCCAGACACTGCATATCAATGGAAATGAGTTCTTAAAGTTCTTGTGATTGGAGAGCTCGATGTGAGTTTATAGGTAGAGCTAAGGTGAGATATCTTCTCCCCAAATAGACTCTCGGATATCTCTCATCTGGCCAAGAGTGAAGCCCTTTTTTAAAATATATATATATATATATTTGTTTAGTTTTATTTATTATAATTTTTTTTTAATTTGCTATAGGGCATGAGAGCTCACTAGAGAGAGACAAGAGAGAGAGAGAGAGAGAGAAAGCAAGCTGCCAGGCCACCTCAGATTGTGGTCCGCCATGTGGGATTCCAGTGCCTTAACCACCACTCCACCTGCTGGTTTCAAGAACGAAGCACTTTAAAATCTAAGTGGAAGTAATGTAAAAATAAACAATAGGACTGATAGAAAAACTGCAAGATAAAATACAGTTTTCATACACCCTGGCTCTAGTATATGATACACTGGATAGGGACCAGCATTTGGCATAATGACTGTGTCACTGGGCTCCCATGTAGTTGACCATGGTTCAAGTCCCGGACCTGGTGACTTAAACTCACTCCAGGCACGTGTGTGTGTGTGTGTGTGGGTGTGCCAAAGATCTCAAGAGGAGAATGGAGAAATACTGGCTATACTAAGGTCAAATACTGGGACAGGTTCCTTAGGGATAATGTGATCTCTGTCATGGAGTGCTTTGGAGTGGACACCCAGAAGTAAATTTCTACTTCCAAATGAGTCACTCAGGTATGCAGACATGTAGAAATTTATTTTTTTGAAAAAAAAAAAAAAAAAAAAAAAGGACTGAAAGGAATATAGCAGTATTAGGCTCCAGGGATCAAGGAGTTTTTGTATCTTGGCTTTCTCAGTAAGACTCTCGTGGTGTCCTGATTTTCCTTAGTTTTACTTTTGGCAGGGTTTTCAGGCTTCTGAAACCAGGTGGTATGCAGCAGAGACCATTACTGCTCAGAAGTTGATGAATGTCCCAGATCTCCACTGAAGTCTCATATCACGTTGCCACACAAGAGCTCCAGGGCCCATTAGCTGAGGGATTTTATGGAATTTAAAAGTAATCAAATTACTGATCCTTAAGACTTTTTCTTGGGACCTAAAGCCACTGCTCATTAGTTTTCTCTAACAGTAGGAAGCACTGCATCTGAGACTATGATAAACTCTACTAGTGTTTTAAAAATGTAAACTGGAATACAGTTCTAAAGCTTGTTCCATTGATCTTCATTCTTGAGCAGAAGGGCTCCCCTTAAATTTTTGTGATATTCAGAGTTAATTTGTGCCTAGAAGCACAGAGATGGTAGTAACCTAGTAGCCCCAGAGGACTTACCCTAAACAATCCTGAGTACCTTTTCTAGTAGCTTCCCGAATAAGGCTGAAGTTTTTTGATTTTTGATTTTTTTTTTTTGCATATTTTATACCATGCTGTGTGACCCATGGAGGTTTACTTACAGGTTATTGGACCCAGGACTGCCATGTGATCCTGCCTTAGAGCCAGATGGCGAAAAGTGGCTCAGAAAAGAAGTACTTAGAGAACATGAAAGCAGAGCTGAGGATGAAAAGTAAAGAATAAACAAGAATAGAAGAGGGATATCACTTGAGAGATGCCTGTGGCCCTTGTCCAGGTCTCCGGGAAGGGTAGACAGTGTAGGAAGGACAAACTCAGGCGAAAAGTGGCTCAGAAAAGAAGTACTTAGAGAACATGAAAGCAGAGCTGAGGATGAAAAGTAAAGAATAAACAAGAATAGAAGAGGGATATCACTTGAGAGATGCCTGTGGCCCTTGTCCAGGAAGGGTAGGGTCTCCGGGAAGGGTAGACAGTGTAGGAAGAACAAACTCAAGCCATGTGAGTACATTTATTTGAGAGCCCGTGGGCTGCGAACACTTGGATTTGGCAACGGGCTTTTCTCTGCTCAGCTCCAGGCTGCATGGTTGCATGCCTCCAGCCTGCTTCCCAGCCCTCCTCTACTGCTAATGAGTCCCCCACAGCCCTTACAATGCCATTTGTGCAAATCATTGCTCAAGGCAAGGACATCACAGCATAGCAGGTTATCTCTCAGTGTCAGGAGGCAGCACAGCACCTGCCTGTGTTGACCTTATATTTCCTTTTCCCATTTCACTCAGCATAATACAGTGATTCATGACACATTTCAGTATATTCTCACTTCATCATTTCTACTACCCTAAGGGCTCCTGTTAGCTGCCATCATCATGTCGCCATGAGCTAGTTAATGCACTTTCAAGTTGCAAGAAACAGGTATGTTTTGTTCCTTGGTCGATAGAGGTTTACATTGTCAGTATAGCCAGGTTTGCCGATGTGACACCCAGGCTGCAAACATCATTCTCTAGTCGGGAAGTTTGTTCTGAATACTTTAGGGTAGTTCACTTCTAGGCTATTAAATCCTTGATTTCCTCATCTGAAAATGGGAGGGGACTTCAAAAATATTCATGGTAAGTGGAATTAAAGTACAAGTTTATTTGGGTGCAAACAGTTTTAAAATTCATGCAACATTTTTGCATAATACACATTTTCATGAATTTGTGAAGACCACGCATATATGTTTATGCAAATAGTGGAATGATTACATTGCTGGACTCCCACATAGTTGACCCCATTTCAAGTCCCAGACCCAGCAGCTTAAAACTCACGTTGGGTGCATGTGTGTGGGGGGGCTCAAAATCCTGAGAGGAGAATGGAGGAGAAGGGGTTGCGACTGGCCATACCCCTTTGGGTGGTGATTTCTTGCTTTGTGTCTCTATCTCTCCAGTGAGCATACATGCCGTATAGCAAAAATGTCGCTTTAAAAAAAAAGAGAAAGTGTTCTATTACTGAAAAGGAGGATGGTGATGTTGATCATGCATAAATCTCTGTAGCTCCCATTTGGGTGTGTGTGTGTATGTGTGGTGTTTTTATGTGTGATTTTTTTCTATGTGTGTGTGTGTGTGTGTGTGGTGTTTTTATGTGTGATTTTTTTCTCCTGGCTCAGCTTTCTGATAGGTGGGACTACAGGCACATGTACTGTGCCCAGCTGTGCCTACTTTTTAGAGAGGGCCTGGAGTTGAGCCCCAGCCTCCCATGTGGCGTCAGCCTGCCATGCAGTGGCATCTGCACATGCTGCTGTGTCTCACTGCTCATTTTTTAGAACTGTGTAAAAGTAAAAAAGGTTACAGGCACTCCTAGTTTCCAAAGCTTACTCACCAGAGAGAGAAAGCCCCTTTAGGTTGGGTGTGGTCACATTGAAATCTGTTTTCCTCCCATTTCTCCATTCCATGTGGATTTGGGGTATACACACAGATGCATCTGGTGTGTTTTTCAAGCCAGCTAGGTAGGGTATTTGATCCACAGTAGAAAATGTGGGGACCAGTTCTCTTGTCTGCTTAGCCGTGGGCCTGACCTTTTCATTTAGTTTCTTTAAGAAACCTTTCTTGATTCAAAAACGATTCTGAAAGTCAGAGTGTGAACAGTTTAAGTCTTTTTAAATCTGTTTCTAAAATAATTATATTTCCACTAGCAGTGTTCCCTGAGAAAACTAAATGTTTAGCTCTTTCTTAATTTTAAAAAGTGAAGAATTGGGTTCAACTGGTGGCCCGGTGGTTAAGGTGCTTCATCCCATGTGGCCAACTGTGTGGTTCAAGTCTCAGACTTGGAGGCTTGATGAACACTCTGGGTATGTGTGTGTGTGTGTCCAAAAACCTGAGAGAATGAAGAAGGGATTGTGTAGTGACCATGGCCCCTGGGAGGTGCTTCCTCATTTTCTCTCTCTCTATCTCATGCATGAGCCCTCTAATAAATTTCTTTTTTAAAAAAAAAGCAGTGAAAATTACAATTGTAATTGTTTTAATTGAAATTTCTCCAGTTTATTAGTGAAATTAGACATCTGTGTATTTGTCTTTTTTATTCTTTTTCTCTTTTCTGAATTGTTTATGTCTTTTGGTGATTTATCTGTGTCCTAGAGTATTTCTAAAATATCTTAATTTTAAATAGGATGGCTGCTAAATCTTTTAAAATTTTCTATTCTCATTTTGATTTTTTTTTTTTAGTTTTGCTTTTCCTTTTTATTTATTTATTTATTTATTTATTTATATTTTTTATTTTTTGCTATAGGGTGTGCGTGTTTGCCAGAGAGAAACCTAGAGAGAAGATCAGGGGATGGGGGGCGGTGGGAACTTGAGAAATCACCTCCTAGGGAGGATGGCCACACTACAGTCCCTTTCCTTCCAGTCTTCTCTTGAGATTTTGGGCATGCACGTAAACATGTCCAGAGTGATTTCCAAGCTAATGGGTCTGGGACTCCAAACTGCACTGTCAGCCCTGTGGAATCCAGCCTCCTGATCCTGCTGGCCTTTATTTTGATTTTTTTTAATAAACAAATTTTGACTTAGTTCATTGTGTCTTTTTTTTTGTTGTTGTTGTTAAGCTTGTAAAAATCCTCTTCTACTTTGCCTATAATATATCTTATAATCACTTTGGCTTCATGTAGTTTTTACCCTTTAAGTACAAGTGAGACTTTAATTTCTTTTACAATTAGCATTTTATATGGTAGCCTGTAAGTCCCAGCAGTTGCCAGCTATTAATTGTATTCCATTTATATAAAAATGCTAGGGACTAGCTGAAAGCAGGGTGATTTAGAAGGCTGAGTCTCGCAAGGCCGATTGCACAGTTCAAGACCCGGACCGGGCTATTTGAAAAGCATGCCACATGTCTGTGAGTGCATGGCCAAACTCCCAAAAGGAAAATGAAGGAGAAGGGATTGCATAGTGACCATCCCTCACAGGAAGTGCTTTCTTTCTCTTTCTTTCTCTGTTTCTCTATTGAGTACAAACACCTTCTAGCAAATGCTGGCTCCCCCCCCCCCCCTTTAACAATGCCCGCCCCCCCCCCCCCCTTTAAGCAATGAAGGCATAATAACTATGAAATTGTCTTAAGGGCCATTTAAAATTCTTCCTGAAATTTATTCGTGTAAAATTTTTCCACAAGTGTGTGAAGTTACGTAGGGATATCACAATCCAGAAAACAAAATGCATATGTTTCTTAAACTTTCCTTTCCCTCTTTTTAGAATTTTATAGAATCTTCTATCACACTATTCGATTCTGATTTAGAAAGTGGAAAATTTATTGACATTACAAATCAGGAAATTTCTGACTTGGAAGAAATTGGCTTTGGCAGTGAAACAAGATCCATTCACGTTAAAAGTGGAGTGTAAGTTGTCTCCTACCCTAAGAACCTTGAGAAGTTTGGTGTTTTAAAATTGTTTCTTCTTGAGTCTATGTCACCTCTGCTTTTTTTTTTTTTCCCTTTTTTGTCTACTTAGATGGGTTGCCTACCAGCAGAAATTCTTCTGTGGAGAACAATACATTTTAGAGAAAGGAAAATACAAATGCTTTTTTGACTGGGGTGGATCAGATAATATAATCATGTCAATACGCCCTATACAACTGGTGAGTAAAGTGTGAAGATAACCAATGCTAGTGATATGTAGAGATATATAATTGAATGTATGAGCAAACATTTAAAAGTGGAATTGTTGAATTATGTGTGTATATATAGATAAAATGGAATATCATATGAATTTCTTTCTAAAAACTTTTTTCTTCTTTTTTTTTTGAGAGGTTTTTGCTATAGGGCACGTGTGCTCGCCAGAAAGACAGAGACAGAGAGATAGCAAGCAAGATATCACCCCCCAGGGGGGATGGCCACACCACAGTCTCTTCTTCTCTCAGGATCTTGGGCACACACATGTGCCCGGCATGAGTTTAGGTCACCGGGTCCGGGGCTCAAACCACGGTCATCTACATGGGAGTTGAGCAACATAGCCATTATGCTAACTGCTGGTCCCCAAAATTGTTTCTTTAGTAATGATAGAGTGTGTGCACATGTGCGTGAGAGTTGAGCAGTCTCTGCGGAGTCTGGTCAATCAGTGATCCCCTTCTACCAGTCCTTCAGCCTATCACATCTTGGGCACTTGCACACATACGTGACATGTTTTGGCAGATCAGGACAGGGATTCAAACTAGAGTCACCCTGTGGGATCCAGCTGTTCTTAAGATGCTCCATGCCACAGCTCTGGAGCCAGCCTCATCATATGAGTTTCTGTGGACACCATGAGAGCTAGTAGATAATAACTTGTGAATATGATGGTCGTGTAATTTGATTTACTTGATGACTATAATACGTCAGACACTAGGCTGATGAATGGTGATAAAGGATGAATAAGTCGCCTTGAGGGGTCTCAGCTCTTTCAGGAGATAGGTGTCTGAGCAATTAATTATAGTATGATTAGAGAGAAACACAAGGTTGTGGGCAGTGCAGGGGGATAGAGGAAGGAAACACTCAGTGCCTGAGAGTTGGGGACCTTGCCACAGGAGAGAGTGTCCTGAAAACAGCTGAGGGATAGAAGCAGTGTTTCCAGGCAGAAAGGCCATTCCACAAAGAGGGAAGTATCCTGTACGTGCAAAGTCATGAAGTAGTAAAAGAGTCTGGCTGGTTTGGATGATAACTAACCTGGCAGAACAACAAATGTACCCATGAAATAATGGTCAGAAATTCAGACTCTGTCCTTGTAATGCACATTGGTACATATTTATTTCCCAAGTTCATTGCTTGCTTGCTTGCTTGCTTGCTTTCTTATATGTGAGAAAGACAGACTAGTGCCCTCAACAGGGTCACAGGCTTTGCTCCTGCCCCTTCCCCCAGCCTTCCAGCCACCTAAAATCGTGGGCACACACCTGCACATGCCTGCACAAGCTGGGCATGCCAGTTTGACCTGTGAACTGAACGCTGATTTTCCACACAGCTTACATACAGCACCGCAGAGAGTGGTACTAACGCACCTCTGTGGCTGGCCCTCAGGCCGATGTTTTTTTACAATTACAGCATCACTCAAAGTGAATTAGTCATAAATGCTAAAATTATAAGACAATTCAACAGGTTTTTTTGGGCATCACAGCCAGTTCAGGAATTGATCGCACCATTAAAAATATTTTTTCAAGGAATATTTTTGAAATGTTCAAAAAGACAACTAAGACTGTATGATTATAATTGTTTAAAAAAGTGTTTCACTCTATTTTTCAGGAACCACTTGGAATAAATGAGCCTCCATATTTGGTATGTTTAAAGCTATTCTTAACTTGTAATTGTTGAATTGTTTACTGAAAGCATGTATACCTTTTCTCTGAAATCTTTCTCCTTCCCTCCAATAATATGTGTGTGTCTCTGTGGCAGGGCATTTGGCATGGACCAAAGGGCAGGAGAGCAGCCATCTTTATTAGTCTTATTGCCTGCATTCGTCAGTTTCTTTCATTTTTCTCCTGACAGAGCTACAGCTCTGACCTCTTCAGTGTTCTTTTGAACCTGTGTCACTCTTTTTTTCCAAGTATTCTCTCTTTCTTCACTGTCACATTCTTCCTCAGCACAGTGTATTATGTTGTCTCTGGAGGAAAAAAATCTTACAGTAGAGAAACTGCTTCTCTTAGGACACTTATGGGAATATATTTCTCTTTCTGTTTTTGAAATTTGCTAGACAGCTCATGTGCTTGCTCAAGAAAGACGGAGAAAAAAGGAAAGTGAGAAAGCACCATTATCCCCATGGGGGATGGCTGTGCCACAGTCCCTTCTCCATTTCTCCTTTAGGATTTTGGTCATGCATGCTCGTACTCCAGTGTTTTTTTCAAGCTGCTGGTTCTGGGACTCAAACCAACCAGTTGGCTACGTGGGATCCAGCTGCCTTAACTACTACACTGCCAGCTGGCCTTGTACACATATTTGTAGTACTGATATCAGATGTTTCCTAAAGCACTAGTGGAGCTGAAACCCTAATCTTTCATTTGTAGTATGTTAATGGTTTGAAGGGAATGGGGCAATACTCTGGAACTTAATGTTTGTCATTTATTGACAGCTACAAATTGTGCCTATTAACAACTCTGTGAGGTCAGTGTTAGTCCCATTTATAGATGAAAAAACCCAAGATTCAGGATTTAAGTGAATGCTATATCACACAGTGAGAAGTAGCAAAGCAGGTATTTTTTTTAAATTTATTCCACGTGACAAAACCATACTTTCAGGGCTTTACATCAAAGAAAGACATATTGTGATCTGAGCAGTAAAGCTGCAGAGGGAAGAGAGAATAAGAGACATTGATTTCTCTGTTCCATTTTAAGTAACAAACTTGGGGAAATCACTGTCAGAAAGCCACATATAGCAATTAATGGTAAATATTTGGCCTTGGCTACTTTTATATAACGCTTAATGTTTTGCTCTTAATGTGTATGTTTCTCAGGTTCATGTCAGTGTTTTTGTATTTCAGCTTAGTTTAACCACGTTTCCATTCACAATGCTTTCAGATGTTATTATTTTTTGATTAGCTCAGGCCTATTGGGAACATTTCCTCTCTGAACATAATTGAGTTGTTGTGTTTAGAAGGACTTCCTGCCTGTTATTTATTTTAATTTTTGAAAACTCCCAGCTGTGGATTTTTCAAGCGCTTTTTCACATGAATCAAAATAACGTGAGTACTTAAACAGGATTCATTTCAAACTTCACGTTGTCTGAGTTTTAAGTACAGATAAAAGGTTTCGTTCTTTTAAGCTCTCTCTCCCCTTTCTGCCCCCTGTTCGTTTTTTATGGACTTCCTTGTTTGGGGCAGTTTGCTGGAGGATTTTCTTTATAGTATTTCCAGTCCAACTTGAAGAGAGAGGAAGCAGCAAGAAACGCCCAGTGAAATTGGCCCTACTTCATTTTTCTGGAGATGGCTCAGTTATTGCCTTGTGAAATAAATGTTTCTGACGTATATGATAGCTGGATATTTGGTAACATACAAACAGAGCCTCCTTGTTCACCCATTATCAAAGCTCTTGTTATTTTCAGTGGATCGAATTTACAGACGTTTTACTAGTTTATACTTAACTGAAAGCAAACAAATGGGTCTTGACTGACACACTGGTTCTATTTAGTAACTGGGAAGTATTTTCTCTTCGCAAGTAGCCATCACAGTCAGACTGGCCACGTAGATGCTGTGTTCACATCAGACACCTATATTTTGTGTTTAAAAGAGTGAGGAGGAATTTATATCTGAGAGTTAAAGTCAGAGGGAGTCTTCTTAGGCTGCTGATTTTTAAAAAGTTTGTATGTATGTATGTATTTATTTTCCATGTGCAAATGAGAGAGAGAGAGAAAGAAAACAGAGACAGTACACCCAACAAGATCTTGATGCCATGGTCCACCCTAACCTGGATCATGGGCATACAAATGGCCCTGTGTACTCAGGGAGGCCTTCAGATGCAAACCTGAACCATTCCACCTAGATCAGCCTCCCAGAGCATCACAATGTACCCTTGTATTACCAGTGTTTATGCTGGTGATTGTAGGGGAACCTCTAGCAAGCTTGAAGGGGAAAGCCAGAAAATGTATGTCATAGAGATTAATATGCACCATAAGAGTTATGATAATAAAGGCAGCATTGTTGATGGCACTGTAAACATATTATGATGAGGTAGGTTTTATTTCAGATACTACTAGAACACCATCTTTTACTGAGAATATTATTTTTCTAGTAAGGCTAAAGATCACTCACTAAGTCCAATGACAAACTTCAAAATACACAGGATAATTATGGAGCTCTTCATCATTAACAGGTGGCATTTTTTTTTAATTTCTCTCCCAAACAACGAAAAAAACAAACAAAAATAGATTATTTTTGTATTGTCACATCTTTCTCTCCTTGCAGGTCTTTAGCATCAGAAATATTACTAGATCAATTCTTACAAAGTTGAGTTCTGTTTTCAGGGGATCTTGTGCTCAGACACTGTTCTCTAGAAATTGCAACCATCCTTTGACCCAACCAAGTATTTACCTTGCATTCCTAGACTCTTTTTCAAATCCATTTGCAAAAACAGTTAAAAATTTGTATTTCTTTAAATATTGAACCCTTGTCATATTTTATATGTGAGTCAAGCTAGATTTAAAAAAAAATATTGGATAATTTAGCCTTACCAAATTGTAAGGTGGTCGCAGGATCGGCAATGGTTGCAGTTGCTTTTAACATGTTTTGGGGACAGGAAAATGACAATTTTAGCCAAATACCATAATATATAAGAGCAGTAGAGAGAGCATTTCTTTGTGCTACCACAAGCAGATAATATCTCTAGACTCCCAAGTCCAGAAATGGTCAGGAAGAATAAGTGAAAAAAAAAAAATCTATGACTGATCAGGGAAATAAAATGATTATAGAATATGTAATAAGAGAAGTCCATAACACTACAATATGGGAAAGGTGTGGTGTAACAGAAGAATGAAATGAGACTTCCTTGTTTAACAGTGGGCCTGTTGCATGGAGGAGGTCCACTGGGCTAGGAAAAGTCTTTCTTAGAAAGCTTTGCATAACAAAATATTTTAGTATTCGAGTAAATAAAATTTCATTAAAAAATGATGTTGATACTGTGGATATATTAAGTGAGCACAACTTCTGTGTTTGGGCAGAAAGTAAGTTCTTGTGTTTTTTTTTAACACATTTTTGTCATGAATATCATAAATGAACATTGCATAGTAAAAAGTGTTTTTACAGCATTTTCATCATAAGTGGTAATAATCTCTCGTTCAAGGGGTAACTTTATGGGACAGATACTCATATTTGGGAAAAAGTACTCTTCAAACCAGTGGTACAGGATCTCAGCTTCTTCATACACACCCTCCCCACCAGACATATACACACACTTCCTTACACTTCCGTTTGGAGCTGTTAAGGACTGAGCCACACCCTCGTGGTGCAGATGGAAAGATGCTATTTAAAAAACTCATCTCTTATTTATCTGACTGTTTGCCTAGGTTCTGAACACCCTGTCTCAGTTGTCTGGTGCACATTCCCCATTAATCTGGAGAAGAAACCCACACATGAATTTGTCCAGCTAGTTTTTCCTAGGACAGAATTTCACAAAGAGTAGGAACTACAGTTTAATTATAATAACTGAAAGCACAGAGTTGATTTCTGTATGAACCATCTTCAGAACATTATAAAAATTATTCTTTTCTCAGTCAGCAGATGGGATAGTGGTCAAAGAGCTGGATCCTATATGGCAGAATCCATGGTTCGAGTCCTGATAGTTGCTTATTAAAAATTATGCCAGGCATGTATGCATGCATACTTAAAATCCTGAGAGGAGAATAGAGAAAAAGGTATTGTGGCGTGGTCAGTTCCCCTGGGCAGTGATTTCTCACTTTCTCTTACTCTCTTCTGTCTCTCTGTATGTCCAGTGAGTACATGTTCCCTGTTGCAAAAATATTAAAAAGAAAAGATTGTTATATTTGGAGTCATTTATAAAGTGGTCAAAATGAGGTATTACTTGTGTGAGATTGATCTAATTTGGGGTGAATAATATTCTGTATCTCATTTGATTAATAAAAATAAACTAGGTAAGCATTAAACCCAGTCTTGAAAGTTCTATTCAAAGAGCATTTTCTTTCTTTTTTTTTTTTTATTTTTATTTTTTGGAGAGGTTTTTGCCATAGGGTGCGTGTGCTTGCCAGACAGAGAGAGAGAGACAGAAAGAAAGCGAGAAATCACCCCTTGGGGGGATGGCCACGCCGCAATCCCTTCTCCTCCATTCTCCTCTCAGGATCTTGGGCACGCACGCACATGCGCCCGGCGTGAGTTTTAAGCCACTGGTTGCGGGACTCAAACCTCAGTCAACTACATGGGAGTCCATTGACATAGCCATTAGCTAACTGCTGGTCCCTATTCGAAGAGAATTTTAATCCTTCGACACAAAAAATGCTTTACAACAGATTACTCATGTGAGTATGAATTTTAAGGAATTCTTCTGGCTATGAAAACCAAAGCCGAGGGAACCAGCAGTTAGCGTAACGGCTATGTCGCTGGACTCCCATGTAGTCGACCGTGGTTCACGTCCCAGACCCGGTGGCTTAAAACTCACGCAGGGCGCGTGTGCGTGCATGCCCAGGATCCTGAGAGGAGAATGGAGAAGGGATTGCAGCGTGACCATCCCCCCTGGGGGGGTGATTTCTCACTTTCTGTCTCTTGTGGGCGACCAAACCCCCCAAAAGGAAAAACCCCCAAAAAAAAAAAAAAAAAAAAAAAACCAAAGCTAAAAATGTGAGGTGGCTCTGTCATTGGAAATATGCTTAACTTACATTGTCAGTAGTCCAGAACTTAACACTTTGTGACTTCATCATGAAACAGTGAAATATAAACTTTAAATTCAGCTATTTAAAATGAATTATTAATAATTTGACAAACTGGGTATACAAGTCCTATTATAAATTAAAGTATTTGCATGCAGGTGAAATTTTTGAAAGTTAAAGATGATTTGCGTTTTAGCTTTATGTTTTATAAACATACCAGTTCAAAAACCTAAGTCCTCTTGTTCTGGACTGTCTTTTTCTTGCTATTCTTTCTCCCTCTCAGAAGTGCTGTGACAGAATCTTGCTGAAGCTCATCTCTTTAAGGCAGCAGAGTCCCTTGTTACTTTAATGTTCCAAACAGAGCATGGTTTCACAATAGGACATCATGTTGTGCAAGGCTTAGTTGGCCAGCAGGGAGTTAGGTCTCCCACTTCACTGATTTTTGGATGATCTTTGATACCTGACCAAATGAGGTCAGCAGAATAGGAAATAATTTATCCAAGAGGACCCTTGGGAAGATGAAAGAGGTGAATGTCAGCTGCTCACAGACGCCTTGTTCTCCATGACAACATGATTAGGAGAAAGGGCGCCGGTGCCAGTGGTTCATTATGGTAAACTCTGCCTCAGTGCAGGCCTGTCAGTGCAGGCTGGACCTGTGGGCCATGTGATTTCAGGTCTTCAGTGTCTTATGAAATATTTATGGGGTTCATTAATATTTTTCTTTCCTATTATAAATCCAAGGTCACTAGAGTTGCAGATAATTATATCTCTGGTCTAAAGGGAATTACAGTTAAGATTTTCAGAATTTTTCTTGATACAGAAGACTGATACAGAAATGTAGTTGTATGTAACTGTAAGCTGTGCATTTAAGGTAGTCTTATCAGAAAACTGAAGCCTGTAAGCTGAAATACATGACACAGACGTCTTTCTTTCTTCACCGTAATCTTCCACTAATCCCATCATTATCTTCTCAGCCATCTGCCTCTGTGTGCCCACCGGCAGGCTCATGCTCACTTATGGGCATGCGCTTCTGTTCTCCTTTCCTTTCTTTTATTGACTAGCT